TATTACCCTTTTTTAATTATAGAATCGCTCAGAACATTCTGTCTCCTCCTTTTTATTCTTTTTCCAAATTCACTTTTCAGTTGCACAGTACGCAAGTGTTTAATCGCACGATTATTTCTTTTTAGTTTTACTAGTGTGCACTACTTTTATACTTCAACGACCGTTTTATCCTCGAGAAACTTTACTTTTAATTTTTTTAGTTTTCTTAATGTATTTCGCCGCGCACGACCTTGTGCTTTCTTAACCGTTTTTACTTTTAGTATCTGGTCGTTTTCCGTTTATCTTACTTGCACTTTTCACGTGTTACATTCGTGAGTACGCCTCTTTTATCTTTGTCAGACTAATAAATTTTTACTTATCTATTATAAACACACTGGGTCCATAACCTGTTGGAAATATTCAGGAATTTCGTGTAGAGAGGTATGGTTCACTTAATGTAAAACGCGATAATGCTTTTGTAAAAGTAAGTTTATTTTGTTCCAGAGAGAAGTTCACGCACTTCTTCTGGGCAGTAGAAAGAATAAAACAACAATATAATTGGATCCAGCGCTAGAAGGCGGTGGATCTAACGCGCAAAACTACTGCTTTACACTTATCTGTTTAATTACGGCTCGCTTGCAGCTGCAGTGCCTATGTACGCTCGGTTTTCCTATATGTATTCGCTGGTGTGCACACCTCGGCGGTCGGTACGGAAAAGAGGTAGAGCAAGCGGCTAAACGCTCCGAGATTCGCTCCGAATCAACAGCGCCGCGAGTGGCCGCTAATTTCAGTGTCGGCTAACCAAGGCAGAAATTACTTGATCTTTATATTCTAGCAGTTCTGTATATTTTAGAACTTTATGTATATTTTAATACGTACGAATTCATATTGATCATTTGGGGTCGCAAAAGAAAAAAATTTTGTATGCTTCGAGTGGATTTTGATGTGATGGAATCCATCCTTTAGATCCAATAAAGTAAAGACAGTTTTGTCAACTAACTTGGCCAGACAATCCTCGATGAGCGGAAAAGGAAACTTTTGTTTAATGACACAAACGTGATCATTGAGAGGACGCAAATCGACGCAAAAAAACGCATGGTTCCATTCTTTTTGCGGACGGGGACGACTTGCGCGCAATAAGAAGAAGTGCTTATTTTAACAATTTTTCGAGCTAACAAATTGTCGATTATCTCCCGAATTTGCAAACACTCCGATCACGCAAAACGTCGCGGTGCATACGCGTATGTCGACTCGTCTTTCAGCGCTACCTTAACAAAATAACGTCATTTACAAGAGGAATAGCCATATTTTCAACTTCTTTGCTGACGCCAATTTTGTTGATTTGCACCGAAATCCGTTTTAATATCGGATAACTCAGTGTCTTTTGCCGAGGACTCATCTTCGAGGACATCTGCCGACGCTACTTTATTAAATAACATTAACCTGCCGTCCAAATTTTTATTACATGGATTATAACAAAGATATTATTTTTTGCAATGAAATCACGACCAATAATAAAGTCGGCAAAGTGAGTATCGTTTTGAAAAACAAGCAAATCAGATAGATAGATAGATATTTATTTTGTTCCCCTCAGGGTTACAATCTTCTTTTCCTCTTCTATATACATTCAACCTACTTCTAACTTATTTTTAACTTAATCTAACTTACTCTAACTTATTCTATTTACACACTAACCTTAACCTATATCACGGGTATTCACGAGTATCTCATGCCTACCCCCTGTACACACACACACACGCATTATGGACTTCCGTTTCCTTTTGCATCTTTTACATCATTACATACTCTCTCTCTCTCTCTCTCTCTCTCTCTCTCTCTCTCTCTCTTCTTCTCTCTCTCTCTCTCTCTCTCTCTCTCTCCCTCTTCCCCCCCTCTCCTTCTCTTCTCCTCCCTCTTTTCTCTTTCCTCTTCCCTTCCACCTCTCACTCTGTCCTTTTCTATCTCTCACATCCACCATTCCCCTTCTTCTTCCTCTCCCAGTATTCTTTCTACTACTTCCTGCCAACTTCTCGCTCCTTCCTCCCATTCTCTACATTCCTCCCAAATGTGCTCCCACAATTCTATCCCTCCTTCACATAACCTACACCTCCTTTTTTCCTCCTCCTCCCAATACTTCCCTTCTCTCGCCTCACTCCCCAATCTAAATCTCGCCACTCTCTTCCATCTACTTTCCCTCCACCCTTTTTTTAAATACCCCGATATTTCCTCCCCTTTTACCACTCCATACCACCTATTATACCTTGATTTTTCTATTCTTTCCCATCTTTCCTGTCTGTCTCTCTTTTTCCCTTCTTCTATTATCTCTTTCTCTTATTCCTCTCCCATATCTCTCTTTCTTTCCACTTCTTTCACCCCCATCCCCTTTTTCTCAAAATATTCCTTTCTTTCTCCCTCCCAATTTGATCCTATTTTTCCTTCCTTACTTCTCTGCTTTATTTCCTCCCAACATCTCGCTAACTCTCCTCCCTTACCTTCCCTCAATCTTCTCTCATACCTCCATGCTCTTATCCCGGCTCTTTTCCTCAACTTTTTTCTTTGCATTTCCTCCCTCACCATATACCCCGGCGTCCTACTCTCCACTCCTAATATCCATCTTAAATATCTTTGTCCTAATTTCTTCACTTCCTCCCTCTCTTTCCATCCTCAAATCTCCACCCCATATCCCATCACCATCCACACTAGCTTATCAAAATGCCATATCCTTCTTCCCCAGTCCCTTCCAAATCTTCTTTTCCCTATTCCCCACACCTGCCTCATAACCACCGCTGTTCTTCTCATCCTTTCTCTTATTTGTGCTTCCTGCCCCCCATTTCTCTGTATCATATATCCCAAGTATCTATATTCCTTTACCTCTCCTAGCTTTTTCCCTTTCCACCTCCAATCCTTTTTCCCTATTCTTCCTCTCCTCCTCCTAAACCTTAGGATTTTTGTCTTTTCTGTGTTCAGCACCAAATTTTTCCTGTCCAGATAACTTTCTAACCTCCCTATCATGCTTCTCATTTCATCTTCATTCTCCGCCAATAACACCATATCATCCGCGTACGACATTGTAAACACCCTACTATCTCCTAATCTTACCCCACCCCATTTCACCTTGCTCATCTCCTCCTCTAAATCTGCCATCAATATATTAAATAATAAGGGACTTAGCGGGCACTCCTGCCTCACCCCTTTCGCCGTCCAAAAGCATTCTCCTGTTCTCTCTCCTACCCTTACCCTGCTTTTAGTTTCTTCCATACCTTCCATAATTCTCTCTATTATCCCCTTTTCCTTCTTCTTTCCATATCCCCTCTCAGTACTTCTCTATCCACAGTATCAAACGCTGCTTTCAAATCCACAAACAATGCTACCATTTTCTCTCCTTTCCTTTCCAGCTGCCTATTTATTAAATAATTCAGTACATATAGATGATAATAACCTTATAGATTCGAAGATATTAAGGTGCTAATAGTTATTGAGACGCCCTGTATATTATCTATCGTTCCCATTCCTTTCCTGAAACCCGCTTGATTCGATGTTAAACTTTCCTTGTCTTTCATTTCCTCCCTTAACCTTTCTGCCAATATCACCATATATACTTTATATGCTGTTGGCATTAACGTCACTCCCCTGTAATCCTCTACTCTCACTCTCTCCCCTTTCTTAATTATCGGAATTATTTCTCTTTCTTTCCATACCTCCGGCCATCCTTCCCCTTTCCATATTCTCCTGCAAACACCCCATAGCCACTCCTCTACCTCCTCTCCTCCATATTTCCATACCTCTCCCGGTATTCCGTCCTTTCCTACCTCCTTCTTCTCCTTCAGATTTCTTATCGTCCTTTTCACCTCCTCTCTACTCAACTCTTCTCCTCCCCTCTCCTCTATCTCTTCCCTCTTCCTACCTCTTCCCTTCACCCTGCTTTCCACTCCTCCTAACATACCTTTTGATCGCGAGAGGACAATTAGCGAGAGAGTGAGGGACTGTTAGGATCGGAACTCCGAGACAAGCTCTGTCGACTGCCCGACAAAGAATCGAGATTCGTAAGAGCGACTACTACTGCGCGCTCCGTTCGCGCGCCTTATAAGCCTTGGCCCTTCCCTTGGTCTTCGAAAGGAATCTGTTAATTAAACAGAAGATAGCAATAACAGCGAGTATTGTTCTCGCTGTTTGCTCCAGCTCGAGCATGTTTACGCTCGCCGCTGTGTTATCGCAATGCGAAGGCCGGCTCTAGTTCTCATCGCGCGCGCGTCGGTTCGCAACGAGAGCGGGAAAGAGAGACACGGCCTCGCGCTCTATCTCCGTCGCTTGCTTTATCCCGAACATCCCGCCCGCCTCGCCCGAGTCGTTCCTTGGGCGACATGCTCATTCAACCGCTAACAGAAATAAACGAGATTTTATTAATTACATAGGGCAAATTAATATATAGACAGATATATACATAGTTGAGGAGACCGCTTGAAACGCTATTCAAGCGGTTCCTCGTCTACCTGGTCGTCGCAGACCGGTAGCAAGACAATTTTTACTATCGGCCGCTTGAATGTCGACGCTGCAGTCCGAACGGTGACCACGCGAATATGCCCATCCTCTCCGGGATGAACTTGCACGATGCGCGCGAGCGGCCAGCGCGTCGGCGGCGTATTCTCGTTCCGGATGAGGCACAGGCGTCCAACTCGGTAGTCGGCCACCCCCTTCAACCACTTCGGACGATGGACGAGGGAATGCAGGTATTCGCGTGACCAGCGCTCCCAGAAGTGATCGCGCATCCGCTGCAGAAGCTGCCAACGAGTCAGACGGTTGACAGGCAGCTCCGTCAGCGACGGCTCAGGCATGGCCGTCAACGGTCCGCCCACCAGAAAAGTGGCCGGGCGTCAAAGCCGACAAGTCCTCAGGATCATCGGACAACGCTTGGAGCGGACGAGAATTGAGGCAGGCTTCCACCTGAGCGAGGAGGGTGCTCATTTCCTCGAAGGTCAAGGTAGAGTCACCCAGGACTCGCCGCAGATGGTGCTTTAAGGATTTTACCGCGGCTTCCCAAATGCCGCCGAAGTGCGGCGCAGACGGAGGGTTAAATCTCCAACGAATTTGCTCCGTCGCCAGTTGTCCGACGATCCGGCGCAGTTCCTGGCTGCCCTCAGCGAAGAAGGCCCGCAACCGGGCGTCGGCACCGACGAAGTTTGTCCCGCAGTCACTTCGGATCGTGTGACACAGACCACGACGTGCCATAAATCGCCGCAAGGCCGCCAGGAACGCGTCGGTGGTGTAGTCCGACACCGCTTCGAGGTGGACCGCCCTAGTGGACAGACAAATAAAAACGGCAATAAATGCCTGTAGGAGCGCTGACCACGCCCCTTGCTTGTCCGCAGTTGAATGGGGCCGGCGTAGTCCACGCCAGTGTTGAGGAAAGGCCGTGCAGGAGTCACTCGATCCCGCGGCAGACTCCCCATCAGCTGTTGCGGAACGGCCGCCCGCCATCGCACACAGGTCACGCAACGGCGCAAACACCGCTTGACGACGGCTCTGCCGCGTGGAATCCAGTAGCGCTGACGGACCGCTCCAAGTGTCATCTGGACCCCGCCATGCAGTGAGCAGCGGTGGCTGGACTCCATCAGACGGACCAAGTGAGAGTCGCCAGGAAGGATGACCGGGTGTCGCTCATCGTAGGCCAGGAGCGAGTGCTTCAATCGGCCACCCACACGCATTAGGCCTTCAGCATCTAGAAAAGGACTCAAACGTAAGAGGGAGCTGGAAGTGGGCAGAGGTAAGTATTGCAGAAGAGCTTTTAGGTCGGCCTTGTAAGCCCCAGCCTGGACTAGACGGATCCAGGTCAGCCTAGCCTCTCCCAGCTCATCGACAGTCAGTTCGCGTCCGGCGGCAGGTCTTCGATGAAGCCATCGACGACACCAGGCCGTCACTCGTAACAGCCGACGGAGCGACGAGAATCGTAGGAGCTCGTCAGGCTCCTCCACGGGAGCGGGCGCAGTCCTGGCCGCGTGGATTAAAGTTTTCGCCTCCGGCCAGCTGTCCTCGTCGGGCGTCGCCACGTCACAGGGCCATGTCGATGGAGCCGTCCGGAGCCACGGCGGCCCTTGCCACCAGAGAGGATGTTTCACCAGCTCTCCGGGCGACAATCCGCGAGAGGCGCAGTCGGCAGGATTCTCGAGTCCGGGCACGTGATGCCACAGCGCGTCCGGGACTCTGGTTTGGATATCCGCTACACGGTTGGCCACGAAGGTCTTCCATCGAGTTGGATGACCGCGTATCCATCCCAGAGCGACCGTGGAATCCGACCACAGGTGGATCGGAATCCGATTCAGGCCGAGCGTGGCACAGACTTGAGAGGTGAGCTTTGCCAGGAGAGAGGCGGCGCACAGCTCCAGCCGCGGCAGAGACACCGTCTTCAAAGGAGCGACCTTGGTCTTGGCTGATATCAAGCTCGTCCGCCAAGAGTCGCCGCAGCCGATCCTGATGTAGAGCACCGCAGCGTAGGCACGCTCGGATGCGTCGGCGAAGCCGTGCACCTCCGCATCGTCGACTGACGATGCGACGTCCAGCCAGCGCGGAACTCGAAGACACTCGAGTTGAGGGAGCTCCTCCGCGTAGGCATGCCACTGTCGTCCGGCAGCCTCGTCCAGCGGATCGTCCCAGTTCAGTCCCAGCAACCAAGTAGCCTGAAAGGAGATTTTGGCTCTCACGACCACAGGTGCCAGCCAGCCAAGAGGATCAAAGAGGCGTGCCGTGAACGAGAGCACCGATCTCTTTGTGACGTCGACCAGCGTAGCTTCCGGGACGGCGAAGGAAAACTCGTCAGTGGCTGGGTGCCACCGCAGACCGAGCGTTCCCTGAGTCTCGTGCGGTCGCCAATCCCGCAGTTCAAGCTGCATCCGATGCTCAGCAGGGACGCCAGCCAAAAGAACAGAATTGTTAGACGACCATTTGCGCAGGGGGAAGCCGCCCGTCATGCACAATCTGGCCAGCTGTCGCTGCAGCTCGCACGCCTCCTCCAAGGTAGAGGCGCCGGTCAAGACATCGTCCATGTAGACTTCCCCTCGAAGAGCTCGAGCTCCCAGGGGATAATTCTCCGCCTCGTCGTCGGCCAGCTGGCGGAGAGTGCGCATCGCCAGGAAGGGAGCGCACGCCAAACCGTATGTCACGGTATTTAGACGATATTCCGTCACCTCGTCTAAGGGATGGTATCGCCACAAGACTCGCTGAAGATCCCGGTCCTCAGGATGGACCAGAATTTGGCGATACATCTTTTCTACGTCCGAGGCCAAGACGTAGCGATGAAGTCGCCATTTCAAGAGAACGTCGGCGAGGGGAGGCAGCAGGTTCTGGCCCACCAGTAGACTCCGGTTGAGAGAATCGCCGGACGGAAGCGCAGTCGAGCCATTGAACACCACGCGAAGCTTCGTGGTGGAACTAGCCTCCCGCAGGACTCCGTGGTGAGGCAGGTAGCTCACACGATCTCCGGCAGCTATGTCAGCTCGCACCGGTGTCATGTGACCCAAGTCTTCATACTGCCTCATGAAGTCTACGTACATTTGACGCAGTCGGTCGTCTCGCGCAAATCGCTTTTCCGTGCCCGTCAGGACGCGGGAAGCGGCGCGCTTAGTAGCTGCTAAGTCGGGCAGAGGAGCAACTACTGGTAGCCGCACGATGTAACGACCGTCCGCTTGTCGTCTGTGTGAGCGTCGGAAGATATCCTCACACTCCTGCTCGGTGGGAGTGAGAGGAACAGGACCGGTTGGCAGTTCCTCCAGCTGCCAGAAGTTCCTCACCAGGCTGGCAAGGTCCTCTTCGATCCGGCATTGCATAGTCCGCGTGCGGTCGGGAGAATCAGCAGGGCCGACTGGCCCGGAGATTACCCATCCTAACGCAGTCTGTTGTGCTGCAGGCTGATCAGGCTCGCTCGTCCTCGCGCCAGTTCGGAGGAGGGAGCCGTAAATGTCGACTCCTAGGAGGATGTCTACAGACTCGGCTTCTAAGAAATCTGGGTCGGCGAGTGTGATGCCGTTCAGGTGTGGCCAGGCGGTCGGATCCGCTCGGAAACCGCTCTCGTACAACGTTATTCGCGGCAAGATCAACGCAGAGACCGACAACGACAAATCGCCTTCTCGAGGTGAGATCTGCAGATCGACAAAACCGCGCGATACCCCGTTCCTCTTGCCGCAGACTCCGAAGACCGCGAAAGCCGACCGCGAGCGAGGCAATCGCAGACGTTGAATCAGTGACTCCGTCACCAACGACGTTTCCGATCCCGCGTCGACCAGTGCCCGCACGACGTGGTCGACACCGTGGCGATCTTTCACTCGAACGCGAGCAGTCTGCAGCAGCATTGACATTGCGATCTTCTTCGTTCTCACGAGATGAGTTTTTACAACCGCGACTGAGGCGTAGGCGTCGTGCAAGGTCGAATGATGACGCTCGTTGCACGACAGGCACGATTTTCGCGACGGACATTCGGTAAGCTTGTGCTTACCGAGGCAGTTCACGCACAATTCATTAGACGACGCGAATTGCTTTCGTTCGGCAGCCGTCTTGCTGAGATACGAATCGCACTGACGCACGTAGTGATCCTGGTTGCAGAGAAAGCAGCGGCCTCGCTGGCTTTCCTGCTTGCGCACCTGTAACGCGTTTTTCTGACGAGGAGTACTCGAGTTCGCTTTAGCTGAGCCAGCGTTGCTCTTCGGGGTAGTCAGCGACTCGAGGGTCCGCATCCTCTGGCCAACGAATACGAGCAGCTCGTCGAGGGACGGCGGTTCCGTCGTCTTACTAAGCTGCGTTTCCCATTCCCGGCGCGACACCGAATCGAGAAGTTCCGTGATCAATTGGACACAAAGATCGTCACTACGCGTCAAGGGGCGACCGATCCCCTCTAAAGACCCGACGGTTGTCTGTACGCAATGATAGATTTTGCGGAGCTCAGCGGCTGACTCACCCTTCATTTTTGGCAGCGACAGGAGCCGCGAGATGTATGACCTCGCTAGGAGCCTCTTGTTCTCGTAATGCGTCTTCAATGCCCGCCAGGTACGCTCGAAGTTGGCGTCAGTCGTTGGCAGTTGGCGAGTAACCTGCTCCGCTTCCTCCTTCAGGCTGATTTTCAAATAGTGGAGCTTCTCAACCGGCGTGGCTGAACTGTTGCTAATCACCAGCGAAGAGAAGAGGTCACGAAATGCGGGCCAGTCCTCGTACTGGCCGGAGAACTGTGGTATGGAGATGCGAGGCAACTTCGGAGCGGCGGGAGCCGCTGCCGCGACGGCGGCAGCGGGCGCGACGTCGGCAGCGGGCGCGGCGACCGCCGCTTGGCCTGGACCACGCATCGCGCGGATATCGTCCAGATATTTGCCCTTTTGCGTGTGGTACGACATGTCGGCCTTGAACATCAAGTCCTTCGTCACATATTCGTGCTCGTAGAGGTCGTCTCCGTACTCCTGGAGCAGCCGCTCATGGCGAGTGACGAACTTGCTCCAGTAGCCCTCCAATGTCTGGAGGCGGGCTTCCAGGAGCCCGAGTGTTATGTTGGCTTCTCCAGACTTCCTCATGTTGTCGTAGGATCGAGAGAGAAGTCCAAAAAGGTCGTGCTGAGCCTGCACGAGGTCGTCCGACGGGCTACTCATGCCTATCTGGCAGGTGCGCTCACCGAAAGATCGTCGACGAACGTCACAGTCACGTCACCGCACTCACTCAAATTTTACCGGCACCGGCGACGCGGATATCCGGCTCGAAGGACCAGCTAATGATCGCGAGAGGACAATTAGCGAGAGAGTGAGGGACTGTTAGGATCGGAACTCCGAGACAAGCTCTGTCGACTGCCCGACAAAGAATCGAGATTCGTAAGAGCGACTACTACTGCGCGCTCCGTTCGCGCGCCTTATAAGCCTTGGCCCTTCCCTTGGTCTTCGAAAGGAATCTGTTAATTAAACAGAAGATAGCAATAACAGCGAGTATTGTTCTCGCTGTTTGCTCCAGCTCGAGCATGTTTACGCTCGCCGCTGTGTTATCGCAATGCGAAGGCCGGCTCTAGTTCTCATCGCGCGCGCGTCGGTTCGCAACGAGAGCGGGAAAGAGAGACACGGCCTCGCGCTCTATCTCCGTCGCTTGCTTTATCCCGAACACCTTTGAAATATTCTTCCCACTCCTCCATTTCTATCTCCTCGTTCACTCCCTTCCTTCTCTTTCTCTCTTTATTTATTATCTCCCATACATCCCCCTCTTTTTTTGCCTCCATCGCTCTTCTCTCCCACCTCCTATTTTCTTCTCTCTTCTTCTCTTCACACAATTCTTTGTAGTAACAAGCAAATCAATATTTCCGTTAAAATTCGGAAGAGATTCTAAGCAAATCTGTGTATTAATTGAACTGAGAATAGGAATTGGGTTACCGGAAACCGATTGGTAAGAAATAACAGGTTTAGTTAAAACAACACTTGAAAAATTAATTGGCAAGATTGGCGCTTATTGGCAAAATTATTATAACTTTTTTTCTACAGCACCTACAGTAAAAACAAGCATACTTTTCTTATGTAATTTGGGTATACGCTATCGATTGAGCCTATTATCAACTCAATCGGCCCAGCCGTTATTGAGATCCGATAATCTCGGCTCGTTTCAACTTTCGGACTCGCGTAAAGAGACACGGTCGGTCTTGCGCCTGCGTTGCGCGCTGCGCGTGAACTTGGCGTGAGACACTACCGTGTCTCTTGATCTGGGTGTACCACTCTATATGATTTCTACATTGCCATGCGCGATCTGAAATTTGAAGATAGAGATAAAATAGCTACACCATTACAATTAGCGATAAAGAAATATCCTGAAAAAGAAGCCTTTGGTCACATTTTTTAGACGGTAATCAGCGAGTGGTACACCTACAACTACGCCGATCAGACATATAAAGTATGTCATTCATGTGTCATGAAACATCGGGGAAGAACCAGATTGTGCATTACGAAAAAAAAACCGTTACAGATATGATTTACTAGTGCATGCAAAAAATCCGAACAAGTGGTGTCGCCTGTGTCTCTGTGCACAGCTGTTTTGGATCGACAAATGCGTTCACAGAGAAAACATTAACAAGCAAATTGAATTTGTGTTAGAAGTAAAAGATGATGAAATTTATTATTCCAACGAGTATATCACATGGTCAAAAGAATATGAATTAAAATAAACTGTTGAATTTATAAATAAATTTCATATATTTAGATGTAAATGTTACTGTTGTAAAACTGCTGAAATGTATAGAAATGAAAGATATTATAAATATTTAGGGTGTGAAGAAATGAGTAACACATCTAATAATTATGATATAAATAATTAATAAATATTATTTATCATTAAATTATTTTTTATTATTATTCTATCTTTCCTGTGCCTCGTCTTATTCACTGACCTATTCTACTGCGAGATAAGCGTGCGTCAGGTTATTACCGTTAATGATAGAAGAAAACGAGCGAATCAGTAACTATCATTCTCTCTTTTAATCGCAGTGAATAATACTTAGTAGTTTTATTATAGGTTCATAAATCTTTTAATCTTTTTCCTAATATACTTTATGTTTTCCTAATAACCGCGGTAATATATAAAATCAATAAAAAAAACTCTAATTTAAATCTAAATTTAATGTTTAAAATAAGAATGGGAGGAAGGTAAAAAAGCGTTATAATATATTTTATAAAAAATTTATTTGGAATATACTTTAAATTAGCTGTGGTAAAATGTAATGAGTTATATTAAAAGAATTATTAAACAAATTAAAAATTATAATAATGACTTTAAATTTAAGCTTAATATGTATTTTCAGAATGAGAGGAGGAAGAATAAATTGTAATAATATATAATTTAATACATAAAATTTATTCATGTTTCTTTTTCTAATACAAAGTGTGTGCGCGCGCGTGTGTGTGCGTGCGTGTGCGTATGTGTGTATACGCGCGTGCGTGTGCGTGTGCGTGATGTATAACAAAAAATAATATAAAAAATCTACAAGAAATAATATAATGTAAGCTTTTTATGATTTGTCGCTTACGTTGTCAGGAGGCATCACAGGGCGAAAATGTCTAAGAGCAGCAGTTATAAAAATGGAGTCTTTAAGGTAAATGTCCCAGTGGTTGAACGCATCCTAGTGTTTGAACGATGCAATAAATATTTATAATTATTAAGCTTTCTATACATAGTTACTAAATATATTAATATTTAAAATTTGCATTTTTTTAATATTTATTGAAAAGAACGAAGATTCAAAGAGAAAAAAAAAATTATAAGTAAGGAAAAAATTATTTTTACTATGACTGTCTACTTTTATTCATGCTGTCAGCGATTTCTTAATAACTTAGCTAAGATATGCCGTTTACAATTTAAGCGTATATTTTCTATATAAATTATGCTTTTATCAAAAATTAAAGCTATTTCGATTCGTAAAACAATTTACTATTAAAGTAAACTTTTTATTTTATTAAATAAATTTATTTAAATATAATAAATTTAGTGTTTATTTACTAGTACTCAAAAATTTAATTTTGCCCAGTTATTGATCATTCGTTTATTTATCGGTACGATTACGTTAGAAACACTTGTACCAGTAGAATAGACGACAGCACACGTAAAAATAAGAGTGCTTACTTTTTGTTTTTATTGTAATTTTTCCGTAAGTATTTTTATTTTTTAAATAATCTATAATTAATTCAATAGTAAAACTTAATGACTAATATGTATTTATATCGTAATAATGAATGTATATGTAAAATATCATGATGACACACAAATAACCTCAAAATTGTATGTCAACATTCGTTTCATTTTTCGTTAACTTTTCTTATATTTAGATAATTTTGGAAGAATGCCGAAAGAAAAGAAAAAGAGACTTGAATATGGACAAGCAGATGTCAATGCTGCTTTAGAAGCAATAAAGACCGGTATGTCATTAGGAGTTGCTAGCATAAAATTCGGTGTGCCTAAAAGCACACTTTACATAAAAAATAAGGAAAAAGTCCCAGTTAAAGCTAAAATGGGTCCATCAACGTATTTAACAAATGAAGAAGAAAGTGGATTAGTTGATTAGATTTTTTTTTGCTGAACGTGGATTTCCAATAACAAAAAACCAATTATTGGATAGTGTTCGACAACTTATTATTAAACTGGAAAGAAAAACACCTTTTACTAATGATAGACCCGGTAGACACTGGTACGAAGGATTTCTTCGTCGTCATCCTGAAATAACAACAAGAGTTGCTCAAAATTTAACACATACTCGCGCTTCAGTAACAGAAAAAGAATTACGTAATTGGTTCAATGAAGTCCATTCACACTTGATTAAATTAAATTTATTGAATATCCATCCTTCTAGAGTGTTCAACTGCGATGAAAGTGCATTTTTTTTATGTCCAAAAGCAGACCAGGTCATCGTTAAAAAAGGATCTAAATCTGTGTACAAGGTAATCAATGCAGACGAAAAAGAAAATCTTACTACTCTATTTATGGTAAATGCAGCAGGATCTATGGTTCCACCTATGATAATGTATTAGTATAAAAGAGTACCATACAGTGTATCCAGTGAGTTTCCAAAAGGCTGGCACATTGGATTATCAGAAAAAGGATGGATGACTGCAGAATCGTTTTATGAATACATTTTAAATTATTTTCATCCATGGCTTATAAAAAATAATATAGAATTTCCAGTCATTTTGTACGTCGACGGACATTCATCCCATTTGACGTTGCCAGTGGTTGAATTTTGTCGAAAAGCAAGAATCGAATTAATTGCATTATATCCTAATGCCACTCATATTTTACAACCATTAGATGTCGCTGCATTTTATCCACTTAAAAATGCATGGAAAGAAGCAATTAATAATTGGCGATTAGAAAATGGAGGTAAACGTTTGAGAAAAGAAAAATTTGTTCCATTGTTAAAAAAAGTACTAGATTCTATGAATTTAACAGAAACTATAAAAAATGGTTTTAAAGCTTGTTGTTTACTACCGTTTTCGGCTAACGCAGTAAACTATATTTTGAACAAAAATAAAAAAAATACACTGGACGAACAAGAAAGCAATGTCACAATTACTACTCTGAATAATGATCAAAAAGAATACCAAACACATTTACAATTTTTTGAACGGAATTTAGATAATAAAATATTACAAAGTTTCAAGACAGCGCTATTAAATGAATTAAACAATGTTGAAATTCAAAATGAAGGTCTTTTTTTATACTGGATAGCATTGAAAAATAAATCTGGTATATCTTAAGATTTTTCTATTATTAGAAATTTTATTTAGTAACTTTAATTAATATTTGATTAAATTTTTATACATTATTATTAAGTATATAAGATTGTAAATATGGTATCTTTATAATTAACTTAATATTCCTTTCAAAACTAATCAATTTAGGAGAAGAAATTATTATTGAAGAATATAAGGAAGCAGAAAATGTAGATTCTGGTTTAGGAAATAATAATGATATATTAATAGATTCAGATAGAGATATTAACTTTAGATATAATCATGCAACCAGACATAGGTTCTGAAACATTATTAAATGAAATTGGTGATATTTCTAATTTACATAATGAAGAAAATATAGAAACTTTCTCAGCACAAGCAATAAAAATTACTAATACTGATGTCTCGATAAATTGCGTACAAGGTTTGTAAATTTAAATTATATTATGTTATTTGGACTAATATATAGTAAGCATTTTTATCCACGTATTATTCTTTTAGAAATTCAGAACAATGGCGATTTAAATGACTCTATTAACAATATCAATATTAATTTTAATAATCATGATTCTACGCTTGATATTACTCCAGGATTAATTGAAAGTGAATCTGCTGTGCCAAGAGATATTCCATCTCCATTTAAAAATACTTTATTTTGGCCGAAATTGACTGAAAAGAAAAAAAATTGAAAGAAAAAATTCCAACGGTTGCCACTTCCGAGGAATGGTTACAATACCATTTGTATAAGGAAAATGAAAAAACCAAAAAGCAACAAGATATAGAAGAAAGGCGCAAGAAAAGAGAAGAAATAAGAGAGAAAAAAAAACAAGAAAGAGAACTAAAAAAGAACATTAAAAAAGCGAAAGAAAAAATAAATACAGAAAAAATTTATTATTAATTATAATGTTTTTATGCTAATTAGAATATATGTAATTGTAATAGGTTAAAAATAAATTTCTTTCAATATGTGCTCATAAAAAAGTCTTAATAATCATTTCTACAGTTATAATCTCATAATGTTCAAACATTGGGACAGCTTCGTTTAATAATAAGGACAAATGTGTTTTTACCGTCTAAACATTGGGACTTTTACATAGCTTAACATTTTATTATATTTTTGTATGATAAAATTAATTAAAACAATTGTTTCAATACTTTTTAAACAGTAAAGATATCAATTTACAAGATAAATAAAAATTCTTAAGAAAATTTCTTATTTTTGTATATTGAAAATATTAATAAGTGGATTAGTATTCTTAATCGTTCAATCACTGGAACATTTACCTTAATATCTCTTAAGTAAAACGACACGCGGTGTTCCTTGAATACAAAATGGCACACGTTGATCGACGAATATCGAATACCGTACAGCGGGCAAACGCACGAGAACAACATGCCTAAGTAGATGACCAATAATTGGTCCGAATTGCGAAAAGCGATCAGAGAAAGTTTTCTACTACTGACTCAAATGAACACCAAGTGCATTCTCTGCGAATACGCATTCATTTCTTTTTCTCTCGCGATATTCTAAACGCGAGACATCTATTACGCGAGCGCGCGTCGCTTCGGATACGCGTTGCTCCGAAGGCGCTGACGGCGTAGGTAGCGCTCTCAGCTGGAGCCGCACAATATACAGAGACCAAAAGGCTTACAATAACATGTAATAATATAGTAAAAGATATAATAAAAGATACATAATGATATAATACAATAAAAAAAAATCCGCTCGGCATCATCTGTAACAAAAAAGATTCTATTAATAATCTGTAAAATTAATTTTAAATGTGATACTCACTGGAAAAGATCGTCCACCGAAAGCGCATCCTGCACCACCATCATAAGTTGCGCAGTGCACGACGCCTCCTGTTGTAATTGTTGGAATAACGTCGTCAGGGTATTTATCCGGTGTAAAACCATCGCTAAGTTGTTGCGGACATCCCCTCTGAAAATAAAATATTTTATTTTAATATCTATAATAAACGTTGTTTTGAAATGTCAGAAAATAATGACTTGGAGGACAATCAGTCTATGTTTATCTTACAGAAAATATGTGGAAAGAAAAGAGTCAAAATTTGAAATTAAATATAAAATATGTACTGTTGCGCTTACTTCGGTGGCGGTAGGCGCTGCGTAAAGATTCGGGATTCGCCGTGCTGGTCAAGGGGGCTTTGGCTCGGAAAGTTTAGAATAATTATGCACTTCTGAATAGATAGAATAACTTTTATTCGATATCTTGTTATTACACTTGTCACCTCACTCACTCGGCGACCGTACTACTGCGATTACGCGTGTACGCGACGTGTCGTGCTTCGTCCGGAACCTTGCTGATAAAAACCCGCGGCGCCTTGTGTGCCGCCTTTATTTATACGGATCAGTATTCGAAACACAATGAGACTTGAACAATACCGGTCCATTGTATTACCAAAATGCTGATCTGTTTAACCTACTTTAGATGCAAGTGACACTCGGGCTTCTAAGAACGAGTGCTCGCGTCAGCGCCTAATTGTTTAATAATTAAATAATTTTTGTCACATGGTTCTCGAGAAGTGGCCTCGATTAATGGCCTTCTAAATGTTTATTATTGTTATTGCCTAATTAACCTATAATTATTACGTTGTGGTCTTTCGACACACAACAGTACTTACAAGGAGTATCGCATGGCTCCATGGCCCTCTCCCTCCACGTTGTAATGTATCTGGAATGATCCAGGCACATTACACTGCATCTCCTGCAGCGCCGATGTAAAGGCATGCATCGCTGTATCAAGCTGGATAGCCCTTTGATGGAGAATAAACAATAAATCATAGATTTCGTGCACCTCAACTTCGTATAACTATGCCATTGTAAAACTTCTTGAAACTGTTACACATCAACAGCACTGTATAGTCACGAGAAGACTTGTGACCATCCCAGCCTTCGACGCATTTTTTTATAATACAATACATCCCATAGATGTGTTGCAAATCTATGTGGCTACCTTACGGGGGTTATCTATTCAAAACTCATAATTTTTAATCTCGAAATATGATTCTTCTATAGAGGAGATATTCCATCATATCTAATGTGATAAAACTAATCTAATGTGTAAATTGTTTAAAGTTGTTCGATAGACGTGCCAAAGATGTATGATAGATGTTTGACAGATGTTTCATAGATCATAAACATTTGAGTAATAAAAATTTTTACTCATCCTATTGCGGATAAGCGGTAAATCATATGTCACGAGGAGAATCATGCAACGGCTAAAGATGAAATAGAAGTCATACGATATACATCATAATGATTCGATAAGTGTTTAAAGACGTTCAATAGTCGTTCAAAAGTTGTTTGATATATGTACAACAATGGTTCAATAGACGATCGATAGATGTTCGAAAGACGTGGAAAGTTGTTCGATAGATGTTCGAAAGACGTGGAAAGTTGTTCGATAGATGTTCAAAAATTGTTCGAAAGATGTTTAAAGTTGTTCGATAATGGTTCGATAGGTGTTCAAAGACGTACGATGGATGTTCAATAATTGTTCGAAAGATGTTTAAAGTCGTTCGATAATGGTTCGATAGACGATCGATAGACCATAGATGCATCTTTATCGTTTTTTCGACATTTTTTTTCCTCTGCGATACTCCTGTGCCTTGTTTGTACGGATCGAGATAAAGTCCGCATTCTTCCATAGCACGATTGTGACGTTTCATCTCTTCGAGTTGTCACTGCACAACCTTGGCGTCATTCATCGCCTTGGCGACACCCGCCGCTCCACCGGGCAGCGAGCCGATAACACCGAGAAGCGGTAACAGCGGTAGGATATCACCGCGTTTCACTACCGGGAACCGTCTCTTTTTCACCTTTTTCTTTATTTTTCCCTTCGCCATTTTCCATGCCCAATTTCGTCTTTGTTTTCATTATCGCCCAAACAGCGGTAGCAGCGGCCCTCTCTCCGAGAGTCGAGTTCTCAGCGGTGATACGTTTCCGCACTCTATCGGCAAGAACGTGATTGGTGACGTGTCGGTCTTTTAGTTTGCCGCTACACGAGTACGCAATGTCGTACGAGGACACGGCACACCGCGTCCTGCGGATTGATTCCTCGATCCCCTCGCACAAGTCGTTTCCGCAGACGAGTTCCCAGACCGCAAAATTGATAGTCGGGTATGTACACTTCGAACGAAAACGCGCTTATCGTGCGATTCAAAAATCCTCCACCCGCGAATTGCATAAAGCGCAATCTTTAACATATGGCGGGCCCGTCGATGTGGTCGCGCTGCCACGGTTGATTGTAATGCTTGAGATACGAACGATAACCTCGCACCTCCGGATCCGCTTTTAAATGTTCCGGAAGTTTCTCCCACAGACGTTCAACGCACTGACAAAAGTTTTGTAGAAGAATCACTTTCGGTATAAATCGCAGCTCCTCGGTTGATAAACGTAAAATATCGTCTGTCAGTACGAAAAACATTTTTCTAACTGAAGGATGTTCGAGCCGCACACACCTATAAATAGCATGCAAGCATCGAACGTTAAAGTAAAAATGAAGTTTGTCCGACAACTAAACACGATTTGTGTAAAAAACATGGACGATAAGACGCGGGTGGGAGAAGCTTGCGCATCCAAACACGGTCGAATGCTGCCAAGCATGATACGCGGTATCACTTGCGGCCCCTCGAATTGCGGTAAAACAAACGTAATGTTGAGTCTGTTGAAAAGTGTGTGTTTCGAAAACATGTACATGTATGTACTCGAAATCGTTATATCAGTCGAAATATCGATATCTCGAAAGATTGCTCGGACCGATCGAAGACATCAGTTACTTTACATTTTTGAATAATTGCTCCGTGATACCTCCGAGCGAGATGCTACCAAATTCTATATTTATTTTTGACAATATAACCTGCGACAAACAGGATGCGATTTGAGAGTGTTGAAAATATTCAAAGATTTCGAATAAAGAGGTATGGTTCACTGAATATAAAACGCGATAGTGCTTAAGAAAAGAGAATTTATTCTGCTCCAGAGAAAGTTTGCAGCTATAATATTTGGACAGAAAAATGAATTAAAATAACTTAATTACATCCAACAGTACAAGGCGGTGGAACCTTCATGCAAAAACGCTTTGTTTAACTTATCTGATATTTTACGGCTCGCTGGCAGCTGCAATGCCTAGAAACGCTCGCTTTTTATCGCTTGTATTCCTATCGGAATCGCTGTGTGCACACCTCGACGGTTGGTACGGAAAAGAGGCAGACTGTGCGGCTACACGTCCCGAGATTCGCTCCGATTCTCGCGAGAAGCCCCTAATTTCAGTGCCGGCTAACCAGGCGGAAATTACTCATTCTTTATGTATATTTTAACGATTTATGTATATTTTTAACAGAGAGTACTTTGCGATGGGTCGACATTCCAGAATCGATTGTTTCTATCTGTGTCAGACGTACGCGAAAATACCTAAACATCTTATACGCGACAACGCGAACCTGTTAATTTTATTCAAGCAGGATGGTACCAATTTTAAACATGTCTACAACGATTACGTAAATACGGACATAACGTACGAAGATTTTTGTACATTGTGTCGTGCATGTTGACAGCACAAATACGGTTTTATTGTAATAGACAAGGATAGTGCGATTGACGATAGACGTTACAGACATGGTTTTAACGAGTTTGCGATACCACGAAATGGTTAGTTGTTCTCGAACCGTCGACGATGATGCTTGACACGAAAGATATCGAAGAGCGTGAGAAGTTGGCGAAGGAGATTGCTCGTACGAGCGAATCGATTCGCAAGAAACATCGGACGTTGAAGACTGGAAGGATAGAGGAAATAGATTTGGAGAAGCATTTCAAGCCAGTCGTCGAACCGTTGAAACGAATCGTCGAGAACATCAAAGGTGACGATGATTCAGTTGTCATTGACGATCTCGAGATTAAAAACAAACCGGACATCAAACGAAAGCGGTCGAGCTCCGAGAAGAAAGTCAAGCGTACTTCGTTGACGACACCGATACAGACCCCGTTGACGTCACCGATACAGGTCTCGACTCCGCTCCAGCCGCAAAAATTGACGTTTAAAGCGGCAACAAATTTGCCGACCGAAAACGTGTTCGAAACCACGGACCCGTATTTCGTAACATTCGTGAGACAGACGATGCAAACGTCCGATGGTCGGGAAGCGCTACACAACCATTTAGTCCCGCTCGGGCGAGTGTACATCGGAGCCCTCTTGAGCGGTGATAACAATATTGATAATGTTTACAAAGTGTACTACAACGACAGGGGAACGTTGCTAGGAGACAAGCGTTTTGACATCGATAAAAATGATAACATAATTGTGAACAACCTTAAATACACTGGTACACCGGTCTGTATGAATTAATATTCAAAAGACATTTCGATGATGGGGTGTACGGAGGATAATAAACAGAAATACAAGAGCATATTCTTGACGACAAACGCTCACAGACGCGATCATAATGTGCCTTAAAAATTTACCTGTTTGGAAAATAAAGAGCACAAATATAAAAATATTATTGCCTCTAATGAATCTCAACAAGAGAGGTGGAGGTGTAATGACTCGCGTTACCCAAGTGTAGCACGAGACGAAACGTGACACCGCAGACCAGGACCGTGACCAACAACGCGGTCGATTACGTGCACTGGGACGATCCGAACGATTATTGGATGCCTCCCATCAGGCGGGAAACAACGCGCACGACGAGTTTTTGTGGATAATCGAGGAACTGCGAGAAGCGGGTCTGATTATGAATTGATCACTGCTTTTTAATTATTGTCAGTACCGCTTGCGCAACACTACAGGAATGTCCATCAATAAGTTTGGAATACAGCTTGTAAAAAGCGATGCGAAGAGAGAAGAAGCGCGGTGGAGCGGTGGAGTCTCTAGAAATTACGTGCGAGAAAATAGTCTCTGCGTGGATGGTCAAGTTTTCAACGCCAAGTTGCGTATAATCAGACGTCCCGTCAGCCCCGAAGCCGACAGCGATGCCGTCAACAAGTTACACTTGGATCGTCGCTTCAAGACTATTATTGAAGACATGGAAATCGCATAAATGGAAATCGTTTACTTTGCGAAAATTGCAAACAGGAAGTGCGTTCGGCAATTCAAAATTTGGAGAATTGGAAAAAAGATATCAACGTTTACTTTGAAACTCAATTTGCAACGTTGCAAAAGAAAATTAATGATGTGAGGGTTCTCCTCAACGAGGATATATCGCAAATAAACAGAAAAATTGCTAAGGATAATGAGCAATTGATGAATCAAATAAAGCAAATGGTCGAGCAACAGATTATAGATGTTCATACCACTTTTTTTGCACAGTAATATTACGTAACTTTGTGAAATAAACGGAAAGAATGAAAAACGAGCTTGGAGAAAAGATTGCTTGTGAATAAACTTTACACACAAGCGAGAAGAAACTTTAAACGCAGACCTGTTGTTGTAAAAGAATACGACTTGTGGCAAGCCAACATAGTCGAGATGAGACCGTACTTGCGATCCAACAACGGCTACAACCACGTTCTAACCGTTATCGATGTGCTGAGCAAGTACGCATGGGCCATTCCGTTAAAAACCAAAGGCGGAATCGAAGCAAGCCAAGCGTTTTCCACGATATTTCGAGATAACGAGAGAACTCCGAAAAATTTGCAAACCGATCAAGGAAAAGAATTTTACAACGAAGATTTTCGGAAACTTGTCGAAAAACACGACATCAATCATTACTCAACGTATTCGATTATAAAGGCCGCGGTGGTGGAGCGATTCAACCGCACGCTAAAGAACGAGATGTGGAAATTTTTTACGCTTAATGGATCGTACAGATGAATCGACGATTTACAGCGATTAGTCTCATAATACAACAATCGTAACCATCGAACAATCGATATGCGGCCGATCAATGTCACTTCCGAGATCGCGAAGAGACTCTTGGCCACGATGTACAGCAGAGTAAAAATTGCCGCGCTAGCGAAATTCAAGGTGGACAATCCGGTGCGTGTCAGCAAATTCAAGACTATATTCGAGAAAGGCTACACGCCAAATTGATCTACAGAGGTATTTAAGATTGTCGCGGTGCAACGAACCAATCCCGTGACATATCTGATTAAGGATTTTCGCGGAAATCCAATCTCCGGGGGCTTTTACGAACACGAATTGCTCAAGACCACTCAACCCGATGTTTATCTCGTGGAGAAAGTGTTGCGTCAAAAGGATAATAAAGTGTTTGTAAAGTGGTTGGGATTCGATAATTCGCATAATTCGTGGATAAATAAAGACAATGTATTGTTAAAAAAAATTTATTACACGATAAACAATTATATATATACAATGGTGTTCTTTATTAAATATATAACATAAATACTAACACTAGTGTATAAACAATATATATGTACAATATAAATAATATATAAACTACACATAAACAATATAATAAATAATACTATGATAAATGAACAATACATAAATACTAACACTACATTTGTATCTTGTGCCCCCACGGCATAGTGTCAGTGGAATCGGATACGACGTACCGCTTATCATCGTACGGACTGAGCGCGAGCTTCGACTCCGACACGGTTTACACTTCGTGCATCTTTGAGCGGATATACGATTGACGCCGCGTTAGCTTGATTTCGTCGTTGAGACACCGAGTGTAATCGTCGAACATTATCGTTCTAGCGACTACAATTTTTTTTACACTTTTCACCTTTTTGGTGTCTGTTTGGTCGGTGACTCTTAACACGTACATTTTCGCCCTCAGTCCGACAAATTCCGTCATGATCGCGCCGTTGTTCTCATCCTTCACCAGACCCGGTACCTTTTTGTTCGCGCGCGGTATACCGTAAACGTTGTTCTCGGGGTAATCGCTCGTGTCAAATTTTGAAATGTTGCGTTTCACGTCGTGATATATGTTCCCGCATTATATAAAGTATATCCGACTGTCCGTGTCCGTGTACATAATTTTGCAGTTGTTACGATACAGAGGTGCCATGTACTCGTGAATGTACGTGAATGTACGTAGTTAAATTCGTACAAGCAGGTCTTGGATATGTCGAGGATACACATACCCACGTAGATCGGCTTGTCGAATTTCACTTCAAATTTCCGCAATTCTACGGCGATTAAATTCTCCAAGAACACGCTTCGACTGAAAGTTTGGACTGGCGATCATAGCCTCCGCTCCGTACCGACCCTCCCATCGCGTAATGAGCCGTACATCCGTATGATTTCGCACATTCTCCATAGTTTTGCCGAAAACCGCGTTGTTCATTAATTTGTACAAATTCTTCTCAAAATCGTTGATCGCGCATGTTCGAAATTTTATATTTAGTTCGATGTATCCTCGAAGCCATGGAGATTGCGCGAATTGCAGTACGCGGTAAATCTTTGTAATCTGCAAGCCGGGTTGAATACATTGCTGCAGGTAGTGGATGACGTATCGCTGCTTATCGCACAGCGTGGCGAGTAATTTGATCTCCCGCTTGCCGGGCGGCTTATCGCGCGTCGTAAAGATTCACCGGATACGTAAGACCGACTTCCAGCATATAACCGGTAGCCGAATCGGATGTTATGGACATTACGTCGAAATTCGCGACATCATCGACCCATGGAAATTTAGCGTAGGGCAAGATTGACACATTGCTTAGCCGTACAAGTTATTGACATTGAAGTACATAAGGTACGATGATGGTTTTGATAGATTGTAAAAGGGCATATATTTGTTGTTGGCGCGAGCGTATCTGTTGGAGCATTGGCTAAGACCACCGCGTATACCGCGCTCAACAAACAGAACCATGTCGATGTCTGTGAGCAACTCGAACTTTACGCGCTTTAACATAGCGTTTCATGTATATCCCGGTAAAGTGTAATACTGCGCGGGATCTAAACCGTAACTCTTTATAAATATGTTTTGGAAATTTTGAAAAATATCCGCCAACAAAAGAACATCCGTTTTTAGATACAAATCGCTGTACTGTCCAAGAGTATCGATCGAAAAAGTTTGCCAGACGTTTGTCGCGTGCACGTAATCGCTCTCGGATACTGTGTCACCGGTCAGCGAGCTGTAAAACGATTTGCGCGGTGGCAGGCGTGTCTCCCGAAGGATGTCGACGTTGTCGATGTACTCGTAGAGAAACACATCTTTCCGCGTAAGCAGATTAAAATTTTCTACGGATAAATTTGGAACGCGAAATTTTTAATTTGTCCGTTGTCAGATATGATGTCAATTTTTCCAGACTGGTGCCGAGAAATTTAAACGAATCTATAAACCGCAATTTGACGCAAATTTTGGAATTTTGATCTTCTGTATCTCTAACGTTTTTGGTGAATGAAATATATATTAAAAAAAAGTTTTCCTCATAAAAAAACCTTTCCAAAAAATTGTTTTTTTAAAAAAAGTTTTCCTCATAAAAAACCTTTT